TGCACGCCACGGCTCTCGGTGCGGAACCGCCCGCCGCAGCACGGACTGCAGCCACTGCTGGGACTGCCACCGACCGCATCATTGCTGTGCTGCCGGGGACCGCACATCCCGGAGGAGCTCGGGACTCCCGGCTGCCGTCAAGGACTACGAGTCCCACCGACCCCTGCGACTTCCTCCCCTCGCTGATTGGACACCGAGCTGGTAACCCGATGTGTGTAAATACACACACTCCCTCCCCCGAGACAGCAGCCCCTTTCCTCCCTGGACCTTTAGTCTTTTGGGGCTGAGTCCCCTCCTTTCCTCTCACTAATCCTCCCCCCTCTCAGGTTCTCCTTTTGTAATATATGTGTATATATTTCCTTTCTTGAACCTTAGGTTGTGATAGGTGTTGTTTCTTAATAAATTAAGCAATTTGTTCAGTGATTTTTGATCTCGGTGGTACTTTGGGAGCATGGGGAAAGGGTGTTTTCAACCTACCCTTGGGAGACGGACACTACGTCTCGTCTGCAGCCCCCCCTACTGGAGGGGCAGATTATTGCAACGTCACAAATTGGGGATTTCCCGTCTTTGGTTCACGACAAGAGGGAACAAACCAAAGATACTGTATGAAGGAGGGTTACCTAAGGAACTCTGGAATATTTAATCTTCTCCATCCCCATCTAACACAAAAATAAGTAACAACAACAGAGCAAACGGGTGCCCAGCAGCTCAGCTAACGATGCATTTAACAATGCATTTAAGCACTGGCAGGGTCCATAATCCGCCCTTTGTAGCCTTCACTGCCAGAGCCCCGGGGTCACTCTAGCTGCCATGTGTCATTCAAGAGGAAAACCTACACTGGCACTTTTTCCTGATATACCTCTCCTGCCTGCTGGTGGGCATGGCCAATTTTTCAAATAGGCTGGGCTATTGCCTCTGCTCCCTGAAATAAGGGGAGCTGATGTACACACTTCAGCATTCATTAAGGAAAGGGCAGTAATGCACAAACTACCACATCACACGAAGCAGGTTACAAGCTATCACAGAAGCCTAGGTTTTGCTTGTCAGTCATCTAGCATAAAGGCAGTTTGTCCCCTCACAGTCTCAATTTTGTTTCAAAGATCAAGCTTCTGTACATTCATTAAAAAAGGTCCTTCTTCCAGCTGCTGCTAGTTGTCAACTTCAAGCTCTTCATAGTCTCTCTGTCCAGATGTCCAGTCCACACATCCAGCGGTAATCAATCATTAGGCTGGTTCTGTGCAGCACACAGGCAAATGAGTCTGCAGTAACACTGTTTAGATAATGTAGTAGCTTTCAAGATAGTAAGAATCCTCTTCAGAGTCCTCAACTGTTGTTACCAGTCATCTCGAAGATGGAGTAGATGAAAGAAATGGCACAGCTGTCATTGTGGCTGGTTTCACCAACACATTCTGTTTCTCTGCATTCAAAAGAGAGATGCAAAAGTCAGCAGTGACCACTGTACCCACTACTAGTTCTCCTTGAAGCTTACAGCCTCTTACTGTCAGTTTGCAATACGTCCCTCAAGCTGCAGAGCATAGGCCTTTCTTTTCAATTTTCAGTATTAAAAGAACAAAGGGTTGGTGATTTTGTTTGCTTGTTTTCTTTAAGTTTACTGCATGCCTTTTCCTGCTAAGGTAGCACAAACAGGAAGCAGATATTTTGCATCCCTTCAGTGGAAGCAGCCAACTGCTACAGCAACTTGCCAGGTAAGGAGGAGGGAAAGGACAAAAACGTGGTAAGGAGCTCTCAAACTAGTAGTGGTCCAGGACACTTACACCCCTATCAAAATCTCCACACATGTAAAAGTGAAAGAGTATTGGTGCCCTTTGTACTACAGCTCTTGGCAAGGCTTCTTGGGAAGCTCTAACTGAGCTTCTCAAGTACCACTTGCATCATTATTTCTCTTTCAGCTGGCTTCTTCTTAGGAATTCATGTTTAAATAGACACATGGTTATCTTCATCTTGATCAAAACGTTTGCACCATTGAATAAAAAGACTGCACAGAAACACTTCATCCTTCCTCCTGAAGTGTGTCTCATGGTGAAATAAATTATTTCCTCCTAATAGCCATTTATATAATTAGAGCCTCTACAGCACATGAAGGCAGGCTATGAGATGATTTCCTTGTTGCCCAAACAAGCATGAAAACTGCTGGGAAGTGGGCTCCAATGAAGACACCACTTCACCTCACCACCATTAGCCACCTGAGGAGAGACTGCAGTAGCTACGGCATGCTCTGCAGATGTGTGTGTTGCACAAGAGGGGTGTCAGTTCTGCAGAGGTGGAAGCCCAGCTGGGCAGCCTCTCAGCAGTGCAGCATTTCCTGATGGAATTGGACTGAGGTGGTTCAGTAAGTTGTAATTTCAGGTTTAAACTAACACTGCTTAGTGGCATCATTCTGTGTCACCGTGGAGAATCTGTAACATTTCAAAAGCACCTTTCACTAGGTAAAAGGCTTGATGTATTGCAAAATGAAGGATCATGCACTCAACTCTGTGAGAGGAAAACAAGACTCAAGGGAACACAGCAACAGAAATTTGTTAAGGGATAGCAGGAAAAGACTTCTGCATTTCAGCACCTAGATACCAGTGTCAAGTGCTCCAGAAACAAATTTGGAAGAAGAAAGCAGAACAGAAATACTCCATGCTGCAGTTTTACTTAAGCCATTGTTGCCATGCACAACTAGGCAAGAGGTTATGCGTTTAAGCCACAGTGTTTTTCATTCCACAAAAATTAATGTGGTGCAGCAACTGCTAGTTCAGCCATACACTTACTTGACACACCATCGTTCCCTTCAGAGACTTCCTGCACAAACTTAGCACACAGAATGCAGAGTTTCTCATCAGGCATTACTGCTCTGCTGACTTTTTGCAATGATGTAGTCAATCATTTAATCAAAAAAGAGCCTGCTAATCTTTCGAGGCTCATTCTCTATAGTTCTGTGTTTATTCAGTGATCACTTTGGAACACCTTAACTTTCAGCCTGGTTAAGTTGCCCCAGTGCATTGTGGGATTCATACCAAAGTCTTTTTCCAAACTTTTTATGAACCTCGTTTTCCTGTGTGGTAAAGCTAGTCACACTACCTGTCTTAGAATTAACTTCCTAGGGTTTCTGCTGCATTCCCTGAGCATCCCCTTGGTACACAGGTGCCGAAGAAAAGCTGCACAAAACAGATGGAAAGAGAGATTGTACTTATCCTGCCACATCCACCCACCTCTGACCTTCCGCTCCCTGATAAGGGTCAGGCGATGCTCTTTCATTTTCACGTCCAGTTTTTCTACCATCCTGTCAATGCAGTTATCCAGCACCAGAGAGCGTGTCTGCGATTTGATCTCCTGCCTGCAGATGGGACACTCCACTTTATGCTTTGTCCACTCGTTGATGCAGTAGGAGCAGAAGCTGTGTGCACAGTTCAGAGTGACCGCCTGCGGAATGGGATGGGAGGGTATCAGAGCGTGCTCACACAAGCATTGCCAAGGAAAAAAACACTGAAGTCAGAAAAACATTAGATGAACACTTCCTATAAGGGAAGGAGGGGAGAAGCCCAAAGATTTTCTTTAGCCTTTGTAGGGGTTACACTCAAAAACTCTCCTGTGTCAGAGTACAGACAAGTTTTGCTAGTTGGTTAATGGGTCCACCAGAGATCACAGCAAGTCAGAAATGCATTCTTTTTGTCTGCATTCTATTATGTTTTCCCAATTGGAGAAGGATAAACTATGCAAAAACTCAGATACTACAGAACAGCATCTTAAATTACTGAAAAACCAGAAATTAAAATTTCAGGTAGCTCTTAGGTCATGGTAACAAGGCTAACACACCAGGTTTACTGTAGCAGAAATGCATGCAGTGAAAATGAAGGCCTAAAGAAACACAAGCAGAAATAAAAGTCTTCTTTTCAGGCATAGGCTATCACTTCTAGAATCAAATGAGAGCAGGCCAACTCCTCAAAGAGTTAGTGTGAACAAAATAAACAGTTCAGGACTTGACTGAACCTTGCACCTCCTTTCCTCTACTAACCTCTTCCTATATCTAAACCTGAAGCAGTCCAACCCCAGCCAACTTAACACAAGGCCCACAACAAAAATGATTCTCCTTCAAGCAGGCTGTCCACAGCAGCTCAGAACACCAGTTCAAAACCACCCAAAACTGCTGCAAGCCTCTATGCATTTTAGGATTAACCATTCATCTCTACGCAGGGAGAGACATTAATGCTGAACTTGCTGCCCAGAAGAGTTAGGCCAGACAATTTCTGGATTTCTGGACCAACCCTTGCCCGTAACTCACTGTGGGGTCTCTTGGAACCATTAAACCAGCAAAGTGAAGAAATAAGCTTGACTATTGCTTTAGAAGAACTAGGGAAAGCCTCTGAAGTCTCTTCTTTATGAGCAAACCCACACCAGTGTTTTAAACATACCTCAATAAAGTGCTCAGAACAGATGGCACACTGCAACTCATTCTCCAACACGTCGTTCATCTGATTCAGCACCTCTTCCTTCTGGGCTCTCACCTTTTCCTTCTCCTCCTGGTGGAGAAGTACACACAGTCAAGTATCAAAGAACAAGGCTTTACTCAATATGCAGGAAGTATGGGTGCAGGGGAAGGTAGCACAAGTAGAAAATCATACAACTGCAAGTCTCTACTTGACAAGTCTGTATCTGTTATACACCCAGACCTCTAACCTCTCTCTTCTTTGTACTCGTGGCAGTTTGAAAACATTCTCACACACTGCAGAGAACTCAGAAGCTAGAACAACAGCTGTTACCAAAATTCCCTCCAGCCTGAAGAAACTACCAGCTGGCTCAATCACATCAGAATCTTTCACCCTCTTCCTGGCATCTGTTTGGCTTAAGTCAACAGAGCAGTTCTTTTTGTCTGATGTAAAAATTAAGACATCCAAGAGACAAAATACCTCAAATATTAAAAAAAGGAAGCATAAGAATTAAAATGTTGACTTGTATTTAACTGCCAAATTTTTTTTTTTTGTTTGGAGTTAAATTAGGCTCCTAGGTACCTGCTCTATCTTCTAAAAATAACAGAGAAGCTATACTGGAAACAGCAACAGCTGCAAAGATGACATAAAAAATAGATAAAGCAAACAGCCAGAGGTAGATAATGTGCTAGTTTCCAACAGAAGAACACAGGAAAGATCTCTTTAATTATTTTCCACTCGTGGCCTTGCATCAAGGGCAGGAAGAAAGAGCTTATCTCTCATTACTCAAATTCCATTTTGTTTGAGGCCTACACTCCTTCATAGGACTGCTGGAACACTGCAGTTTTACTTGCGGGCACTCCAACTGAGAATGAAGCACCTCACCACAGTTCTGGGCTTTCTTTATAATTGAGAAACATCTAGTAATGACTGTTCAACAATAATTTATGAACAGAGCAATGCATATTCCCCCTCAATGCTGGAAGCTAGTCAGCTGCCACCTCAAAATACAGGAGTTTTTTTGTGATGGGAGGCAAAATACATCAAAGGCACACGTTAAACCATTTCCTCTGTTGTAGCATATTATGTTTCACTTATGAATAAAGTGAGAATTCAGTTATTCCTCACCTTGGTTTCTTCCAGTTCTCTATTCTTGGCTTGAATTATCTCCTCAAAATCTTTTTTACTACGGCTCAATTCTTCCATTAAAGCACGATGCTGTAACAACACCACCCCAAAAATTGTAAAAGTGTCACCATAAGATATCCTATTAAATACACATGGCCATAATCAGGAGGTTCAGCATACCAACCTCTCCTAACCCCCTCCTAGAAGAGCAACACATGTCTGTCTGGGGTGTTATGGCAGTTTTGTCTTAACTCACACCAGGGACGTAGTCTCAGTGTTACTGCACTTCTCATCCCCTCTCCCAGGTTACTCTTTCACTTCAGTTAGGTTTACAGTCACCACTTTGAGTTTCTGAGACATTTGAGTATCAAGGGATATTTGCCACGTAAGGATCACAAAAATCTGTCATTATATGCAGGGTTACCTGAAGCTGTTTTCAGATGAGCTTTCCAAAAGGAAAGGCCTTCTGGAAAAAGCCTAGGAAACCAAAGTGTGTGGCAGTCTTTCAAAAACATTCCTAGCCAAGAGTGAAATTTTTTTTCATCTGGTTAAAACTGCCAAAACAACTTCCCCAAAACAGATACCCAGCAGACAGACCTCACAAAAAAAGCCCACCATCCCAAGGACCAAATTCAAGTAAAAAAAACCCAAACAATGCAGCTAATTAATGCTTTCAATTTGAGTGCAGATTCTCACAATATTTGCTGGCCAACAGCAACTCCCATAAAGTGAGGTCTGCCACTTTCTGACAGAAATTTGATCTGTAGATGAAGATCGTCCAATCGGCACCTAAGGCAAAGTCTTCATCTCCTACCAAGACACCACAGCAGTAAGAAAGTTTTAAATATCCAAGTTACACAGACCAAACCCAGCTTTGTAACTACTTGCCTCTTGCAGGACTTGGGCCAGTTGCTCCTTCAGATTCTCTTCCCCATGTTGGCACTTTACTCCCTGGGCAGGGAAAAACAAGAGGAAAAAAAAATAATCAAACCAAACAATCAAACAAAAAAAATACATAAAGAAAGCAAGGGACTTTGCTACTAAATGACTACTTTGCACACTCTCTTTAGAGGATATGGTTAAAGAAACAGTGCTGGTTTCAAGCAAACCCTGAGATGTCCCACTCGAGTGTATGTATGACAAATTAGAGTTATTGTGTACTATGAAGAGTTAAAATGGAAATACCAGTTAGTTACATACTTGGAACACCTCCACATAATTCTAGCTCTAAATGCACCTGCACGCTCACAGAGGTAAAAGGCTGAGCAACAGCATAAACATGAGAAAAATCTGCAACTCTATCTTCAAGCATTTCCAAAGAGGTCAAATGTACCTACAGCTCCAGCCAGACCTCCCACTGTGCCTCAACACACACCTCCAGACCTCCTGTACTTCTGATACAGATATCTTTCTTTACCAGCAGACTTTAAAGTATGTAATTGATAAATTATGAAACTCACTCCAAGATGAAGTCTTACTTCATTTAAACCAGGGAACTCAATTAGGAAGGCTTCAATTTGTTATCTAAAAAAGCTACTTATCAACATAGGCATACTGCTTGGAGACAGAGATTGCAAGCAAAGTTTTTTGAAAGTACAGGGAAAAAAATAATTCCACTGCTTGGAAAAGGAGTGGATTTGCCATGCAAACTTAACATTAATTCAGTCATATACCAAGAGAAATGCACACTTAAGGTGAATACTTTTCAACTTGTCCTCCCTGTAACCAGAGGAGATAAGGCAGAGACTTGATTTTGTTATTTAAAAACATGTGCTTTTACTAACTGAAAGGCTTTACCATGTTGCTGTTTGCAAAAATGTTTTTAAAAGTAATTACTTTGTGCCTTTTTCCTAACTCTTCATGCAGCCCAGTCTCTTCTGTCTCTTCACTTTCTTTTGGTAAAGAAATATGCCTGCAAGCCAAACACTTCCAGGAGAATTTTAACAGGCGTAATTCACACAAGCATTATTTTTGTTTGGTTCAAGATCTGTATGGTTCTTGACCTTATTTTGTCTTACATGAAGCATTCCAAAGAAACAAGACACAGGCCAAAAAGATGACCACCATTATACCTCTAGCTCCTGCTGCTCTTGAAAGAATGTCCTCTCCAGCTCTTCCACCTGCTGCTGCTGATGCTCTTGTTCCATGCACAGCTGGTCCTGCAACTCCTGCAGCTCCTGCTCCATTGCCAGGATGTCCTTCTGAGCATAATTCCTGGGCTTCTGCTTCACATTCAGAACTGCTGTCTGCTTCTCCTGCACTTTGACCTTTAACTTCAATACATCTACTAGAGTTCTCTTCAGCATTTCCAAGACAGTCCATGACTGTGAAAGACCAGACCCTTTCTGGTCCTCCCAGGGGACAGACACGGCTTTCTCAGAGCACACGGGACGACTGCACACTGGATCACTATCCTGCTCACTTGGCCCAGGAGGAAGCAGCTCAACACCCATCTTCTTTGTTAATGGTTTGGCCTCTTCTACCCTTCCCCACGGTTTACCCAAAGGTTCACTGTCACAGGACACTCTGTCTTTTTTGGGTCTGGGGTTTGAAGGACCTTCTGATCCAGACATCTCCAACTCCTCCAAACTAAATTTACGCTTAGTTCTTGAGGTCTTAGCCTTCCCCAGGTCACTCCTTTGAGCTAAAAAGGGTTTGATTTTCTCCAGTTCCTCTTTAATTACTTCATACTCGTATTCAGCAGTCTCTTTGTTTTCCAAAGGCACTCCCAACATGATATGGTCTCCTTCAGCAATAGGATAGGCTTTTGAGGGATCCAGGCGCCGCTTGTTAAGCCAGACTCCATTTAGACTCTGCAAATGAGGAGAGAATGGCCAAAATTTAACATGAAGTTACAGAGTCCTCTGTAAGTTATTTCTGGCAACTGTAAACACATCCAACCTCTTCAGTGCTGCAATCAGAACAGGCCACCGCTTTAAATAAACCTTGCCATATCAAATTTATTGGCTTAGTGTCCCATTTACTACAGTTATTGAATTATATTATTTACCACGCGTTATTCCTGTATCACCAATTTTGTGTACGAGGGCTAAGAACAACATTAATATATTTGTGCTTGTGTACAATGAAAAGAATGAACTCTAAGGGGGGAAAAAGCTGCCCAAAAGCTTCAGAAATAAGAACTAAGCAACAAAAAGAAAAGACTCTGCACAGATCGTTGTCAAGAACATAGAATATTGCCCTAATTATTCTCGACAACTAATGTTGCCCAAAATTCAAAAAGAAACTAGAAAATAAAAAGCAGCATAGCTTATACTGCTTGAAAGACAGTTCCCCATATATACAGGGAGAAAATAAACAAGACAGGAAATAATGTTCTAGAGATAACGTTCAAAGAAAAGGTGGTTTTAAATTGGACACTAGCTCAAGAAATAGTTGTGAAAAACAGCAAAACTGATCTGTGCTCAGGATGAAGTGCAGAATCGTTAGTGACTGACATATCTCAGAGAGATTCAAAAAAACAGCTTGACAAACTGGTAGCAGAGTAAATATTAATAGTTAAATCTACCACAGATGTTAATCTTCCAGTCATGCAAGAACTGTAAGTTTTCAAGTTTATTCAAGGGCTGCAATGCAGTTTTGTTTAAGAGCAGTGTCATTTTAACACTAGCTACTCCATTCCTTCCTGACATATCTGCCCAAACATCCTTCAAATCTGCATGACATCCTGAACGTTCTTGTTCTACCAGTGCTGTTTTAAAGCAAGTTACTGATTTTACAGTTTTCAGCCTGAATGAGAAAGTGGAGAGATTATGATAGAAAAAACAGATTACTGAAGTAAAAGTGAGACCTAGCTTGGACTCTGATGCCAACAACTTCATTCTAATCAGCTGAGTACTTTCAGAAGACGCTCATCTGAACATAACACAAAGCATCATTTTTCTAGCAACAGATTCTTGTTGTAGTTCATTACAATTAAAGCAATTGTGACACTACAGTAAGGAGCATCAGTTTATCCTTTCATTAGCAGTTCACAAGAACTTTATCCTTTTGAATACTGCCAAAATTCATGGGGTTGTTTTGTCTGTTTTTTTTTCTAAGCGTAACACAGATTCACAGACTACAAAGTGACCTTGGCAAGACAACAACTGTCTGAAAAACACTAAACCAAGAGATAAAGCAGTATGGTTTGCAACCCAATTGCAGCAGAATGAAGTACTACAGGCAAGACATGTTCCCTGTGGACCCTGTACCACACTTATACCACGTCATACATAGCCCATACATTGTTTGAGCCCAAACAGGGCATTCTCTTCAGGGGATCTGAGTACAAGGTCTTCATCAGTCTCTGTACCTTGTTATCCTTGATAGTCCACTGCCCTTCTGCATTTTGCTGGAAGACACAGTGCTTACGAGAGATCATCAAAGGACAGGTTTTGGAAACCAGCTGGTATGTGAGACCTAATCCTCGGCCTATAGTTACCTAAAAAATAAAGTAGTTTAGTAACTGCAATCAGTAACAACATGGTAAATTCAGTTTATGCCATTTTGGTTTAAGTACAGCAGAAATCTAGATTAGCATCTTATAGCTATTCCCAAAGAGTTTTGGCTAATAGTTGAGGATTTTTTTTGGCATTTAAATTCAGGAGTAGGTAGAAAATGGAAACCTACAAAGTCTGATGTATTCTCTTTCTCTCCCATTGAGGAAAATGTGATTGCTCTAAGGCAGGCTACAGCCTTGGTTTCATGGAATTCTTCCTCAACAGCAAAGCTGCTCAAAGCCATTCTCAATCCATCCATGTCCCACCCTAGTCATTACCTAACTAAACACCATTTCTCCAAACCAGTACAATTGTTTGTGGGTCTCAATATTACTTCTTACCCTCTTCTTTCAGTAGCTGTACCTGTTCAACTGTCTGTGAACAGGAAAGACACAGGGGAAAAATAGCCTAGAAAACTGCCACCAGAAAAATGCATATATAACTCTTCCCTAAATACACAATTCTTTTGTAAACCACACCATCAGTCTTATGGCTCAGAAACTAAGCTACATGCAGTTTATAGCCAAGAGTGAAAGTGATCAAAATAACCTGATTAGACACTAACAGCATCTTCTGGAAGAAAGGGTATGATTTAATTGCACCATTTCACAGTATCTTATTAAATCTGATCTAATTGCAGGCTACTGTTTAAAGCATAGCTCTGCTCTCCCTCCCTCTGCTGCCTCCTTTGCAAGATCTGACCATCATATGCATTCTTCTCATTCATCTGAGCATTGCACATGTTTTCAGTCAAGCAATCACGTAATAGGACAACTGCATGGATCCAGCATAACACAGCAGAAAAAGCAGGACAAACACCTTCGAGCAGAAGCCCACAGTTAAATCTGGTGAAAAATATTGTAAAAGCATGCTCTTTTTTATGTATTAGACAAAGGCTGCCCTTCTTCTCCCCTGCAATCCCAATTCATTTGCATCACACCTTCCAGCTCCTGCAAGACGCTGCAGTGGAGGAAAGTTCTCTGTATGTAACCCATGCTGGTCCCAGCCAAGCTTTAAAGCAAGAATCTGAACTCCTATGCTATAACAAAATGCAAGGAAGCCAGCTAAGCTCACGAAAGCAAACTTAACCACATCAGTCCCTGTCTCTTAAATGCTTCATACCTATTAGTGTTCCATCACCATGGATTGCATATGTAAGAACTACAGAGACTCAGGTGGATGAAGACTCCACACTTCAGGTGGATTCAGTTATAAATTTGGCTTGTCCCCCACGGGCTGGGGACAAAGTTGAGCTGTGCCTTTTGGAGACGTATGAACTCAAGTCCTTCACTGAGTATACCTCGATGTCTCCTAGCTTCAAATCCATGACAGGAGTAACAAAACTATACACTTGCTTATACAGCTGCCTAGGATTGAAAGATGAGCTAAGCAGGGTGCATTCTGCAACGCACAAGCACAAAGGAACTGGGTACAGTGTGAACTCAAAAAAAGCAACGCCCGATCCTGGACCCTAAAGCAGCAATGCTCTCACTGCACCCCAGCCTCACCACATGCCTTTGCCTGCTTGCCGGCTTAAGGGAAGGAGCACAGAAAGCCGTGAGGGCCCTTCCACTTGAAAATACCACCACCAAACCCGGCTTTTTACTCCCTGTACCTGAACGAGGCATCACTGGAAGAGAGTTAAAGCACGGCCTCGCGTACACCTGGATGCCTTAAGCCACGGCACTCGAGTACGCTACTGCTAACCCCACCGAATAAATAACAAACAAATAAATAAAAGGTTAAACCCCGACGACTTGGTAAATAAGACCCAAAAGCCCTTGT